TATATATATATATATATATATATGAAAAAAAGCAGACTTTATTGAATTTTTAGTATAAATAGTTATCTTTTGTGAAAATTTGAGATTTATTTTCTTCTTGTTCATTCAAATTATATTAATAATTTTGGGAAAGTATTAAGTTTAGAACACATGTCATTATGAACTAAATAAAATTGCAAGCTGTCCATTTTAGCTTCATTTATGTATTATTTAACTAAAACCTTTATTTGAAATAGTTAAGTTGTAATCACTGTATTTAAAAAAAATAGCTATAAAATCTTTCTTGTGTGTGTTTTTGTATCAATTCATTACTCACATTATTTAAAGGTCAATAAAGTATCCTGAAGGAAAATTTATATCATTTTCCAGCATACAAAACTTTATAAACAAGTATCAAAAATGGTAAAAAGGCAAGAGGGAAAAACAAAAAACAAGGGAGAAAAATTCTCATTGGAATTAACGAATTGAAACTTCTAGTGCAGAAACATGAAGAATTAGAGGCACATTAAACATTGAAGGGATCTGTCTATGTCTCTCAATTTATCTTTCTTTTCTTTTCCTTTTTAAAAAAGTAATCTCTATACCCAACATGGGGTTCAAACCCAAGATCCCAAGGAAGGTCAAAGAATCACATGCTATACTGAGTGAGCCAGCCAGGAGCACCTGTCTCTCTTTCTTTTCAATACCACATTGGAAACAATCATAAAATTGGAAAATTACATATAATTTACTTAAAAATATACATATATTATAAAAATATGATTAAATATGTCATTTCATCTTTGAACATAATTTTATTTTAAAAGGTGATTGAAAATAACAGTAAACGCAAATCCCTATTCTATATAATCAAACATTAATATAAAAATCTCTAATGGCTGTCAAAAGTCAACTGTCCCTTATTTGCTGAAGCTGAAGGAGAGCACGGTAGATCACATAAAAATATGCCTTATAATTGGTATTGGCAAGAGCCAGGAGGTCAGGTTTTTGGTCTTTGGATGTGAATATTGCAGAGAAATGTATCAATGTACATTTCAGCTCTAATTAGTAACAGTAAATTATTTGGAGATAATATTTTAAATGCATTATGGAATAACTCAAAGGTTTGGAAATAAATGTGTAGAATACTGATGCCTCCCAAAGTCATATTGCTATTAAAATCTTATCTGGAAATAAAAATTGTAAATTATCTAAATAATCTATGAAATGTCACCATACATAAACCTTATAATATTTTCATGTTTCTTTAATCCCTAGATTATAACTGTAGGTTCTTTTCACCCGTAGGTTTGATCTAAAGTTTACAGAAAGGAAACACACACACACCAACACATTGTTTTTTTTTTTTTT